CTCTCCCTTCTCTTTCCCTTCCTTTCTTTCTCTCTTTCTCGATCGTTTTCTACTTTCTTTCCCCTTTTTCCTCATTTTTATTATCATTTTTCTATCCTTTTTCATGAATTTTCACAAAGGTGGTACATATTTAAGAAACAAATTGTGCGTCAAAGATTCACGAGCATATAATTCGATTTATTTTAACGTTAACACAGTATTCTTTTTATTTTCTTATTATTCTCATACTCTTGTATTATAACATTCGAAAGAGAAGATTAATGTTATTATACTTTTGTGCGTATGTTTGCGCACAGGTAGATATACGTTATTCGCGATCATTAACCATAGGAGTCCCAGGTTATATCGTTTCGTGTCGTACAAGAATTTACGATGTCACGTCTATGCGAATATCTATTATAGTACGATCCAGTAACCGTTCTCTCTCCACCGATTATCGTAGAACGTTCGATTATCGATTTCGTTGTTAGAGCTCTAATATGCAACTATGTTCATATTACTATCCCTACATGGTGATATACAAAGCATTTACTTCGAATCCCACCAAGTTCTCGATCAGAGGCTACAGAGATTAGGAATCTCGATCGCGTAAGGTATTATCGCGAAATATCATCATTTGACAGATAATAGTTTGATATTATCTTATAATTTTCATTATTATTACATTATTAATTTGTTTTAGATTGAAAATATTAAGTACGGTATTGTTGTATTTTTCATATCGAGTAATCAATTTAATATGTTTACTTCTTTACGTTATAAATCATTTAATAGAACTGATTGGACAAATTTATATTTTATATATAAATAATAATAAATAAATATAATATAATAAATATAATATGTAAAATAAGTAAATAATATTAATAATAATATTAATAATTAATCAATAAATATAATATATGTAAATATATAGAATATATATTGTAAGATCGATAATGAAATTATAGAACAGATTTATTTGTGTTGATTTATTTATATATTGATTTATTTATATATTTTATACTACGATTTATTATATATTGACAAATATAAATTTATACAATATTATTTATTTAAAGTCCATTGTGTCATAATTCTTAACACATATTTAAATCGTCATACATTTCTCTTAAGAAATTTTGAAAACGTATATATATATTAATATCAAAGTTTTTATGCTTGGAAAATAAAATTAGTAATTTCATGCTTGATTAGTAATTATTAATGCAAATGTTTTTTTTTTTAATTTTATTTCTATAGGAAACGGTTTAATCGATTAGATTAGTAACAGAGATTGGACTTTTGATTAAAATATTCTTATAATATATTTTTCATTTTATATTTTTTTGCATAATGCATATACGTTTTGCATCTTTATGATTAATAACATATGCAAAAATATATTTTCCATGCATATTCATAGTAATTTACATCAGAGCTCATTTAAACACCTTACCACGATTGTACAGACATTGAAAACCATAGGTGTAAAATTAAATTATTTCATTATAGGAATATTTATGAATTCCATACGTAACGTTCCTCTATCCAAATAGGTGGAAGAAAAATTATATTTGTTCGTTTCTTTATAGTTTACTATTCTCTTTTAATATCTTTATTTCTCTTTATATAAAATATTCCGGAAAAAAATATGCTGACCAATAAATGTGTCAGAACGTTGTTGAACTACATTTTATCATGGTCCGCGTGTAAATGAATTTTTAACAGACAAATGTTAACAATTAACAATATTATAAATATAGAATTAATTCATAATTTATTGCAACATTAACTATAATTTAAGTATCCAAATAATTGTAAAAAGTATTATTGAACATATGTTTATCGTGAACATTGTATAATATATTAGCATATTGTTTATTATACTATATATGCAATCTATACGTATTTTGCATACTTTTAGCCTAAATTTGCATATTTAATGTGCATTAATATAATACGTTTCTTGCACATTTATCGTGCATAAACATATCCACCAGTTTATTAATTATTATATTATACGTAAATATCGTTTGTGTTTGAAAGACGTTACGAATTTATATTTCTGCACAAATTTTTATCGTAAAGCCAAACTTTTAAAGTTAATTACTCGATATGGAAAACATACAACAATTCTCGTTGAAAAAAAAGAAATAATAACAAACGAAAATATATCGACTACCCTCTGAAAACAATTGATAAATTTTAATTAAATAGATGGCTTTCTTTCTTTCTTTTTTGGTCAGCGTTTTCCCAAGAGCCGCGTACGATTGATCGAAAATTGATTACTATCGGAAATACCATTGTTTATGTATAATATAATTAGAATTACTGGGGACGATCAATACCAACCATGATTATGCTGAAATTAATTTGTCAATAGATGATTTCGGAATATGGTAACACTTAGATAAAGATTGATTCAAATAATACAAATTTTTCAAAGTATAACTATCTGATACAGGTTCACTTCAGAAATGAATAAAGAATACAAAAACAATAAAAAACTTAATAATAAGCATGTACATTATTTGATTTTATTTCAGAGTTATGGTTATTTTTGTGTTTCAATAATCAGAGAAAGCATATCTTTATAGAAGGTGTTGAAAATAATTATCATCAATTTGTATTTTTGTAAAGTGTTTTGTGTCTTATAAATATTTCTTGTCCTCGTTAATGTCACAACACATTTTGTTAATTAAATTTAGTCATTTCGGTTTAATCAGTTCAATTTCAATGTTTAATTATCTTACTAGAAATACTTTCGCGTATTATAGTTGAAGTATATTTTTACAAAATATAAAACACATCAAAATAATTACGTATAATGTATATAGATTGCAATCAATAATAGCGTATCAGCGAATTTCGCATCATTAAGAGAACATTTATCATCCATCCAAGTATATGAAAGGTAAGAAATGAATTACAAAGCATTTTAATCAGTTCGTTGCTAAAGTTTATGAAAATAAAAAAGATATTAAGAAAGGCAGTAATTAGATTTAATTATAAAGAAAAGAAAATACAAAAACGAACATTAATTAATAATTTTAAAATGAAATTTTTCGATTTATTATATATTTTTTAAATGTTTTATACCAATAATTTCATATCTAATAAAGTAAAATTGAACATTTATCTTTCATTTATAGATTTATCTTTTTTCTTTAACTATAGAAAAACATTAATGGAATTTAAGAATCTGTTCTGCGGAGATAAAGTTTCGAGGAGAGGAAAATCAAGTTTTCCCCGAGTGTATGCTAACAATCATTTTATTTGAAAAATTTTCCACCTCATTTAATTAAAATATTCTATTTTATCTACACCGACTTATTTCAATTTAATTCTTTAAAATAAAACTTTATTTTCAATTCTAGAATAAGTCAAATCTTTTTTTCTGACCAATTAAATAATAAAATTCTTCTCTCTCATTTATTGAAGATGAGATCTTTCAAATAATTTAATTCATTTAAATATTATAATGAATAATAAAACGTACAAATTATTTTTTTTAAATGAATGATCAATGATCATTTGAAGTCAATAAAAAAAAGAAAAAGAAACATTTATCTAAAATAATATCTCATAAAAGTCATTTAAATTTGAACTTCAAACCTTTGATCTACTTTCAAATATTCTAATTTGTTATAACAATCCCAATAATGATTTGTTAAAAAAGACAATACAAAAATAAAAGAAATAGAAAATAGTGATCTGAATTTTAAATAATATCTTATATAAATATATCAAAATTATATCGCATTATATAATTTCCATTAATTCTCTTACTATCCCATATCTTTTGTATCTTCTTGGTTAGACAAAAAAAAGAAACATTTATCTAAAATAATATCTCATAAAA